TACGTGGCCACAGAATGTATTTTTTTCTGACTATATAGAGCCCACTTGAGGCTAGAGATGAATAAAATACAAGGTGATCTGGGTAGTGAACAGGTGACTTCGGAGGTGGTGTCTCAGAATAGGATCTATACTTCTGGACCATGGCTTAGAATATAGTGCTAACAAATTTCTGCCAAAAGATGGTGTACACTAAACAAATTTCATCCTTTAGAAGACAGAGGAACCCTCCAAGGGGGAATTCTATTCTGTATCTGTGTCACCAAGAGAACCAGTTGCTGCTGTGAACATGATGCAAACCCTGGAAGGAAATGACCATTCCCTCCCAGAATTTGTGACAGAGGAGAGAAAATCCTAGAATATCCTGACACATAATCTAGACTTCAGGAGTGTTTAAAGGAAAAGATCTGAAACTATAGACTAAAAATCATACTATAGAAATCATCCCAGGAAGAATGAGAAACTCTTACAAGGGAAATTCTGAACATACAAACGAAAACTATTCCAGTGAAGAAAGAAAGCATTTCTTTGAAGAGTATCATGTAGATGCACCGGAATCTCATCCACCAATATAGATTTGCTTTAAAAGAAATTTTCAGAAGATGGTAACAAGGCCAGGCAACTGAGGCAGAATATAAGAGCATCATATAGTCCTAAAAAAACAATGCCAGGAGAGCTCAAGTTCATAATGACCTGAGATTGGTACAGTAAGGTAAAGGCAGCCAAATGTAGGTGGAATGGGGAGAAAAAGAGGATAAATAAGAGAGATGGAACCTTTGATTGGGGTAGATGAAATGATAAGTGACAACAAAGAAAAGGCAGAGATACTCAAATCTAATGTTGCTCCTATTTGTCAATGAAATGGCAAAACAAGAATGACTGATATGGAGTTGATGCCCAAGGTATGAAAAGAGATATAGTACAACAGTACTTAGTTCACTTTGACAAATCCAAATCATCTAGCCCAGATGAACTACATACTCACATACAAAAAGCAAAACAACAACAACAACAAAAACAACAACACCTAAACAAGCAAACAAAGAAATCAGACGGTTGTATTTGCTGAGCCAGTAACACCTGAAGAAATATGGAGGGAAAGAGAGGAACCACAAAACTGGAAAAAGATGAATTTCATAATTTTCAAAACAGAAAAAGAGCAAAATGTACAAACTACATGCCAGAGAGTTTGACTTACTTAAATTCCACAATTGCTCACTAAAGAAAAGGTTGACAGATATTGAGAAAAGGAAGTCATGACTACAGAGAGCCAATATGGCTTTAAGTATAGATCATGCTGGATTAACCTCATTTCCTTTTCTGACCAAAGGACTAAACTACTAGATCAAAGGATTTCTGTTCCCCTAGACTTTAGCAAAGCTTTTGATAAAGTATACCATACTCTTCTTGAAGAGAAGACAGAGAAATATGGACAAGAAGATAATGTAATCAAATGGATTCAAAACTGGTTGAATGACTGAATTCAAACTCCTACTCTTTGAGTAATAGTTCAAAGTTAACCTGGAAGGGAGTCTTCACCCTCAGGAGTACCCTAAGGATCTGTTCTCTGCACTGTGCAACTTAGTGTTCTTTATTTTAGCTTTTATTCAGCATTTTATCTTTTACCAGTTACATGTAAAAACAATTTTAAAAATTTCTTTTTAAAATTTCTGAGTTCCAAATTCTCTCCATCCCTCCCCTCGCCACCGCCACCCCCCCACAGCATTTTCATCATAAGGCCTTCAGAGTTGTCTTGGATCCTTGTGTTGCTCAGAATAGCTAAGTTCTTCACAACTCATCACATTACAATATTGCTGTTACTTTGTACCTAGTACATTTGACTGTATCAGCCCACACAAATCTTTCCAGGTTTTTTCTGACAGCATCCTGCCCATCATTTCTTATAGTACAATAGCATTCCATCATAATCACATCCCACACCTTGTTCAGTCATTCCCCAATTGAGGGGCTTCCCTTCAACCTATAATCTTTACCCCCAAGAAAGAGCTGCTATAAATATGTTTGTACGTATAGGTCCTTTCCCTTTTCCTTTTTTACCTCTTTTGGGATACATTCCTAGTAGTGGTATTGCTAGGTCAAAGGGTATGCAAGGTTTGATAGCCCTTTGGGCATAGTTCCAAATTGTGCTACACAATTGTTAAATCAGTTCACAACTCCAGTAACAACAGTGCATTCAAGTCTCATTTTTCCCCACATCCCACATTATTAGGCTAACAATGGTCCTGGTCCATATAGATGACCCCAAGACAACTGCCTCAGTGGTCTCCAGTACTCCAAGTTCTTAAGTGTTAACATGTATGCTACTTAACCAGCTGAGAAACTTCATTTGGGTTTACAAAAGGGGCAGTAAACAGCTTTCTCCTAATGGCCACAAGTCAAAATTACTAACAGTCTTGTTCTATAACGTACCTTTGTTTCGAATCATAAGTAGGCATCCTGCCCACTCCAGGATAACTTAGGGGACAAGAAATCAAAGGCACTTGTGAATCTTTAAGCAACAGGACCACAAGTAATGTAGCAATGAATAACTAACCTACTCTCTGATGACAATGTTTAAAAAAACAGGATTTAGTTCAGGGGACAGAAATGAGACAACACTTGGCCACTTCACTGTAGCTCATCTATTTGGGCTGAAGGTGTCTTCAGTCTCCTCTCCACATAGAGAAAGCTATCTATCATTCCTTAAGGTTTTAAAAATGGTAGTCTGTTAGAAGGTCTGAACTATTAAGCAAGAGCCAATCCTGTGGTGATACGTTGTTTACTTTGAAATAAGACAACTGTAAAATATCCTCTTAAATTATACAAAGAGGAACATTAGGAATCCAAATTCATTAAGGTGGTTTTGCCAGTTGCATAGAGACTAAGGAGATCTGTACACTGAATGGCATTAAGGAATCCTGATGTGGCACTACAAAGCTCAAATGTGCCGACCAAAACACTACATAACAAAATATTTATAGGCAAACAACTCTTAAGTTGGTTAACATCAATACTGCACATTTTTACAGTTTTATCAACTACATAGTTTGAGTTACAAAAGAAGATCATGCATTATTTATCAAGTATAAGCTTTTTTGAAAATCCCCATTGTTCGAATGTTAAGTAGGGGTAGTTTTAGGTACAAGCATTGAGTCCATAAAACAAAAATCCAGTTTCTTTTGGCTGTTGGTAATTCAAAGAAACTTCTCCAATGACTAAGTTACTCTGAGAAACATACAGCCCATGAGATTTTTCTAAGTTAACTTATGCAATTGAAAGGGTTTGCCCAGAATGTTTTTTTAAAGATGTTTAACTTCCTGTACAAGGAGAAATGACATTTCTCAATCAAATTACATCTTTTAGAATAGAAATTCTCCAAATGTCCATTTTCTACTTTCCCTTTTTTTTGTTAGCAGCAATACTTTTTTCTAAACTTATTTTCATGTGAGTTAGAACTTGTTCTTAAGATCTGGCTGTTTAAATGGCACAAGATCTCATTTCAAATTGTGGCACCAATAATTCCTACAAGTGTAATTTTCAATTATAGCAGCATTTTACACAACTATGTTTTCAAAGTAGGTTAACAATTTGTGTATTGAATAACAAAGTGTTTAAATTACATGGATTTTCCACTTTCCACTCACTATTTACCATCTAGAATATTTACAAATGTTTATAAAAGAATGGTTTTTAATGGCACATCTCTCCAAAATGCTAAAGATTTTTACACTTAAAACTCAGTTCTGACCCAATTCAGGGAGAGGTTAGGTTTTAGCTGTTGTAGAACTTTTTACAGTAAAAAGAACTTAAAAACTGCAACCCCAATCTCTCTCAAATGAAGAGATTCAAAAGTGTCCCACTTCTAAGTTTCCACTGGAAGTGATATTTAAGGGGTTTGTAGAACATTTAAAAAGTTCTCAAACAAGGTAAGTTCCCCATCATCTCCTCTGGATATCTTAAGTTCTGTTGTCTGTTGTTTGCTAGGAAAGATAAGGAAGAAGCTCCCAGGGAGCAAAAGGAATGGCAGAAACTGAAGGAGAATGTGTACGAGCTTGATGCCAGTGTGCTAGCTGCAGTAGTGAATAAATGAAACAAACCCACTAAAGAGGTAGTCCATGATGAAAATGACTAATTGTATAAAGTAGGGTTTGTTTGTTTTTTTCCATTTAAAAACAACTTATGCTTATTCTAGGGCATTCTGCACAAAAGGATGAAAGGATGATAAATCAGAGGGAGGTGGAAGATGAATCTTAATACTATTTTTCATGAGCCTATTTTGTATATTTCCAGTGTCTTGAAATGTCACCATACCCGGCATAAAGTCTAAAGGAGGGAAAAGATACCACATGCATACAAAACAATACCTTCTAATAGTAGAGGAATGGTGTTTAATACACATTTAGTCTCTCTTAAATTCCAAGAAATCGTGAGGGCTCTAACGTATCTGAAACAAAGTGGCACTACAAACATTTTAACCTTTTGAAATGAGCTCTAAAAACTAAAAACCACTAGACAAGGCTTCCTTTCAACGGCTCAGGACTCTAGGAAAGTACCTGATCATCTCTCCCCTTGACTTCCTTTAAAAAAAAAATCTCCAGACAACCACATCAGGTAAGTTGGTGTGAAAACTAGAATACAGAGCAGTCTGAAAAATTAAAAAAAAAAGTATTCGAGGAAAAGGAGAGGGCACAGTTAAGGCATCTTTAAAAAAAATCCCCTGGGCAAGTCACTTAACCCTAATTGCTTAAATAAATAAAATAAATAAATAAAAATTTAAAATTTGGTTTACCGAAATATGTCTACACTGTTAAAGAGAAAAGGAAATATTTCAAAGCATCTGGAAAATATGAAACTCTCTGAATACATAGTGTAGGATAATTCAGACACTTAATACATGTGGATATCAAACTCAAGAGCCTTCTCCCTGTGAAACTCTGTGAGGTCACCTAGATATTGATCTCACAGAAGATGGTAACCCCTAAGTCTGTGCAGAAGTTACTTACCAAGAATTGTTGTCTGGAAGGGTGGGAAACATGGAATTTCCATTGGTTGGTGAGCAGCCCGACTTCAATTTTTCCAAATACTCGGTTTGTGCAGGTTGATGGCACTCAAGAACTTTAATGGCATCTTCAACCTTCCTTCCTATGAAAAAAAGAATCCTCCCAGTCTTTCAATAGTTCCCTAAGTGCGATGCTTGCATCTTGATTCTGCTCACATATCTCCAAAAGTCTGCCTAATTTTCCTTTTCCTACACTTCTCTTACTGCAGCTCCGCCCTGCTCTACCTCGGGCTCCATTCCTCCACCGGGAACAACGCACTGATCTGGATACGGACCCCCTCTCCTCCCCTCCCCCCTAACCCACGGAGTAAGCCCAGGCAGCCCCGCTTCCAGGAGCGCTCGCGGCCACACGTCGGTCCTCCTCCTGTTCGGCTTCATCCTAGAGGTGGCTTCCTCCCGCTGCGAACCCGACCAAGGGCGCGGGGAAGGAGGGAAGGGAGGAGGGAAGGAGGGAGAGAGGAAGGAAGGAAGGGAGGGAAGGAGAAAGGGAGGAGGGGAAGGGGGGGAGAAAGAAGGGAGAAGGAAGGGAGAAAGGGAGGAGGGGAAGAGAGAAGGGGAGGGAGGAAGGAAGGGAGAGAGGAAGGAAGGAAAGGAGGAGGAAGAGAAGGAAGGGAGAAAGGGAAGAGGGGAAGACAGAAAGGCGGGAGGAACGGAGGAAGGGAAGAAGGAAGAGAGGGACGGAAGGAAGTAAGGAAACTAGGAAGGGACCGCCCGAGGGCCGGAGCTGGGACACAGGCCCAGGAGGCTGCGCTTCTGCTAACAGAGAAGCCGCGTGTCCTCACGAAGCCAGCCCACCGCCCGTCCCCTTTCTCTGTCCCACTCAAAGCCCTTCCAGGCCTCCGGGTGCGCCGAGGCCGGGGCCACGTGACGCCCGCGGAGCACGAGCAGCGGGCGCTGCGGCTCCTCCCTCGCGGCTGCGGCAGCACTGGCCCTGCGGAGGGAAGGCTCGCCCTCCAGCTTTTTCTGGGGTCACCTTCGGGCTTCCCCCTCCCAGGGACACTGGTTTAGAAACTGAAGGAAGTAAAACAGATGCCAAGCCGAGGAGAGAGAGCCTCACTCATTAAATAATACTTGGTCTCCTTACCAGCCAGAGAAACACGACAGCCCAAGACAGGGCTAGTTTGGAGTAGAAACTCAGTCATCAAATATTGTGGCGGAATAGGAGGGAAGACTACCAGCAATGTTGCCTCCTGCGAGTGTAAAACGCAGCGAAAGAGAAAACCAGCCCGCAGAAAGCTTGGGGTGAAACTCGAGTGTGTGATTTACAGAGGAAGCTGGGAAGATAGCAGATGTTCAAAGGATCTGACTTTCGTCTCTCTAGCAATTTGTTATCAGCGACAGTGGATCCGATACATTTAGATTGTGACGTGTCAGCACCCCCGTGTACTGCACGAGGATACAGAAATGGGATAATAGCATAGTAGGCTTAGAGCTGGCAATGACCTTTGACAACTTGTTAAACTGACTTTTTTTTTAAACTATGGGGAAGTAGCATTCAAGAAAACAAAGTCAGGAAGAAAGGCTGGACTTGACCAAAAATACATATGTATGCATATACATATATATATATATATACACACACACACACACACACACATACACATATACATATACATGCATACCTATGTACACACACACGTATATACATACAGAGAGAGAGAGAGAGAGAGACCAGAGAGTGTTAGGTACAACACAAATTTAAAGGCACTCAGATTTATTTTCAAAATAACTCAAATCGGAAAGATTGCAAAAGAATGGAAAAGATCAAGAAGTGTATTGTTTCCCATTAAAAATCAAAAGAGAAGACTTTTGGTGGCTACCAGTCCATATGAATACTTTCTTATTCCTAAAAAAAATAAAATTATGAAAAATGAACTATGCCTGCCTTGAGCATGTTTTTGTTGAATAGAAAAGAATATGGAGATATGATCACTCTCTTGCAGAGGAGACTAGGAAGGTATCAGCACCTACTCAGTCATATACAGAACTAGGTAGAAGATGAAGAACAACAGATTTAGGTGATGCAAAAAATAATCTCATGAATCTAATGATTAGGCTTATTTCCAGTGAAATGAGCTCCCTTGGGAGACTGTGGTTTTTTGCTTCATTTAAGGTCTTCAAGGCACTTCAGGACAAATTTCAATGAGAATGACAGATTTTCGTTTCCTTGAGGCCTTGAGCTGGTTCCAAAAGCTATAGACTGGCCCAATTTAGCCAAGCTGCAAGTAATGTTGCATTGGTTTATGAAGACTGTTTGAAAACAGGCTGCTCTGTACTATTTGGAGATATCCTTAAATGTTTCTGAGGTCACTGATTGCATTGGGTACCCCAGGATGTCAGCTGGTTGAATGACAAAAAATCAGTTATTCTATATTGTTGTATCTCAGTCAGAAGATAAAGAGCTACTGGAGATACATAGGGTATGCCTAATAACATTTTGGATTTGTACAGTACTCTTTTTAAAAAAAAAAACACTGTCATATACCTTATCTCATTGGATCCTTACAACAACCCTATCCTGTGAGACAGGAAAAGCATTACTTTAATTTTAAAGATGAAGAAACTGAGTGTTGAAGTGACTTGTCCAGTATCAAATAGCTAATGTGTTATAGAACTGACAATGGAGCCTGGGTCATCTGACTCTTTTATCTGGTATTTTCATAGTACATCATGCTGTGTTCTAAAGTCTACTAGTGATTGGGCTCCAGAGGGGAGGAAAGTTTGTGCTTTTGATGGGGAAGTCTTCCATTAAAGTGAAGCTGAAAAGACATATTACTAAGATTGATCACGGAACTGAGCTTCTAATGGTGACAGGCAATGACACCCTCTTCCCACCAGCAGGATGTGTGGAATATTCCATGGATCCTGGAGCAAAATACCTAATTACCTTGTGTTTTCCTCACCTTCCACCTTACAAAAGAAGTCTTCTTTTTGACTTGCTGAGGGAACTCCGGTTTTGCATTGCTATGGTTTCAGATCTCCTGAGTGTAGGCATACACACACACACACACACACACACACACACACACACACACACACACACATATACATAGATAAACACATGGATGTGTATACATATGTATATATATACAGATTATATGTATATATGTGTATTGTACATATGTATACATATATATGTATGTGAGTGGGTATGTGTACATATATGTATATATATGTATATGTGTATATGTACTTATATATATATGTATATGTGTATATGTACTTATATATATATGTATATGTGTATATGTACATATATATATATATATATATATATCCCTAAAGGTATGGAGTCAGTGATTTCTTCATTGTAGAAACTCCCCCACTTGAAAACACCCTTATGCAGATGGGCAACTCATCTGCAACTTCCAGCCATTGTTCTTTCCATTTACTTTGCAGGACTCACTGTTTGTGTTTGTGTGTGTGTGTGTGTGTGTATGTGTGTATTCCAGAAAAATCAAATGATAAATCAAGTCCCAATGTGCACTACTGACTGATTTCTGAGGTCCTGATTTTCTGAGCTCACATTGAAACTTCTCTGTAGGGGTTTGAGGAGGTTCCAGCACAACAGAACTTAGATGTCTAGAGATACAGCCCTCAGTCAAAAACTATGGACATTTGAGTCATTATTCACATAGTACTAAATTATTTGAACAATTCACATTTCCACCAGCAATGTATTTGTGTACCTGTCTTTCCCAGTCCTTTCAATATTGACTATTCCCATCTTTGTCAATTTGCTGAATGTGAGGTGAAATTTTAGATGTGCCTTGATTAGCCTTTCTCTTATTATTAGTGCTTTGAATCATTCTTTTGTTGTTAAGAGCTTGCAATTCTCCTTTTCAGAAAATATTTTTCTTATACTTTTTATGATAGCCTTGTCTTTCCCAGTCCTTTCAATATTGACTATTCCCATCTTTGTCAATTTGCTGAATGTGAGGTGAAACTTTAGATGTGCCTTGATTAGCCTTTCTCTTATTATTAGTGCTTTGAATCATTCTTTTGTAGTTAAGAGCTTGCAATTCTCCTTTTCAGAAAATATTTTTCTTATACTTTTTATGATAGCCTCTATCCAACAATTGGTTAATAATTCACTCCCTCCCATAACTTTGAGAGATATAAGGGGAAGAGAAGAGAGAAGGGAATAAGCATTTATTCTGTGCTTGCTTTGTGCCAGTCACTGTGGTGTGCTTTACATACATTCTCTTATTTGATTCTCTTCATTCCTAATTCTTAATATTTTCTTTAATATGTGGTTCCCATCCATTTTAAAGTCATCACAGTATATAATATAATTATTAAAACTTGATTTTTGCCATACTGTTCCAATTTTCCCATCAATTCATATTAAGTAGGGAGTTCTTTCATAGGTAATTTGTGTTTTCAGCTTTATTGAACACTGGGCTATTTTAGTTCAATTATTTCAGATTTTTTTCATATCTAGTCTGTTCTACTAATCTCAATTTTTTAAAAAACATTACCAAGTAGTTTGGAAGATTTCTGCTTTATAATGTAGCTTGAGTTCTGGAAGTATTATTTATCCTTTGTTCCTACTTTTTTCATTATGTCCCTTGATATTCTAAGATCTTTTGCTACCTCAAATGAATTTTGTAATTATTTTGTCTTGCTCCGTAATGAATTCCTTTGGTAATTTTCTATTTATAGCACTACATTTGTAAATTAATTTGGCAGTATCGTCACTTTCATGATATAAGCAAAGCCAGGCCATGGACTCTGACTACCCCTCCCTACCCCCAGTTATTTAAGTTCCTTATTTCTTTAAGGAGTATTGACTTCCGGCTATTTCTTATGCTTTGTAGTTATTTTAAATTTAACTTTCCTTTCTGTTAATGTCCCCTATGTTTTGGTATTACTAATTAGAAATATTGTTGATTAATATTTGCAAGAGGGAGTGGTGATAAAGGGGAGGTTGGAGCTAGCAATTTTTTTCAAAACTATTTTCTTAATGAGTTTGTTTGTGGTTCCCATAAAATTTTCTAAGTAAACCATCATGTCATCATCAAACTGACATAATTGTATGTCCACTTTGTCTTTTTTTCTCTTATGCTCTTAATTTCTCTGTCTCTGTCTCTCTTTGCTATTGTGAACATTTGTAGAATTTTTTTTTTTAAATATGAGAATGGGGGCTATCCTTGCTTTACCACTACTATTTATTGGGAAAGCTTCTAGTGTTGTCCCACTGCTAAAAACGTTAACTTTTGGTTCCATATATAGTGATAAGAACTGAACCTATGATTACATTGGTATAGGAGATTCCCAGATGAGGAAACTCACCCTCTCAATGCATGTTAGCACCTTCTCTGTAATTTATAATGTAAGAGAACTTTCTAGAGCACCGAGAGGTTGGTTAAGTGATTTGCCCTACATTACATTGTTGGTATATATCAGCAAGGGAATTTGAATCCAGAGCATTAAAGAACTGAAGGGAATCATGGAGGCCATTGGTTCTAACACTCTGATTTTACAGATGAGGAA